TGGCCCCCAGAAGTCAGAGCATGCCCCAAACTCACGCAAAATGGCCCAACCAGTCCCAAAGAGAGCCCCTAGGAATGCTCACGCACGTTCGCAATCCGACGGCCCCGAGTCACGAATCCATCAGTGGGGGCGGGCGGCGGAAGAGGGCAGAGCATTGCGTACCATACTATTCTTGCTGCCGCTCTGGCAGGCGCACGACTGAGAACAGCGTGCCATCATACGGCGTACGTACGTGGTTGATATGTTTGTCGTCGCTGTCCTTCTTACTGCTACTGTCGGGGATGAACCCCCTTTAGTAAAACGTGGTTTAGTGAAAACGACCTCGGGCCCAAACCTGACAGGCGCAAGCCTGGAAAATAACGGCCGCGGCGCCCTCTCGAGAGCCGAAAACGGACAGTTCACTAATCGACGTGTCAGGGTGAGAGGTCTGTCCACCCCCGATATTTGACCCAGTGTCTTACCATGGCTCCGGTAATGGTTCCAGTCGCTCTGCAGACCGCGTCTGCGTGCTTTCGGCTTGGGCGAAAAAACGCGTTCCTGCGCTCTTCAGAACGCAGCCACACACCACCAACATCACTGGCCTTAGGTCGGGCCTGTCCCCCTACAGAGGGATTTAGGGCGAAAAATCTGCAATTTTCAAAAAAGAAAAAACCAAATGGCAACACAAACAATGCTCCAAAAAATCGTCCCCAGACTATTGTTTGACCATTTTTGGATAGGGTCCCCCTGTAGAGGGACAGGCCCGACTTAACACGCCATCCTGCCCCTCAGGACGGAGGGCAACTGAAATGACATCATCACACGATCGGGAATACGTCAGACTTCAATGCAGACAGTGTGCGAATAGCCGGTCTCGCGTCTTGAACCACAATCAACCGAACACTCCGACCTTTTTTCAAGAGCCTCGAAACGCTTCGTTGCTTTGAACTCCACCAAGCATATCCTTTGGCCACCGACGAACCCTGGTGTTGACAACCGTGCCGCCCCCAGCTCGACACTCAAAACCTTAAACAGCGAACCCACAGACACAGAGATGAAAGAGGGTGCGTTCGTCTTCCTCCTCGGCGCCTTCATCTGCAGAACGGGAATCGGTAAGCTCCCATGGCCACGTGCAGATATAAACGTCTCCCGAGGAATCGACCATCAGAGCTCAGACCAAGAGGGTGGCCGCTAGAGAGCTCCGATGAACCCGCCCTCGCCTGAATGAGTTGCCCGATCTGAACACCTCGGCACCTCCAGCGTTCTATGTAGTCTTCAGTCGGGCCTGTCCCCTTACAGGGGGATTATCAACGACAAAATAAAACTACTTACAACAACATACCCCCAAAATGCAAACAAATAATCAAAAAATAGTCGCCAGACTATTTTTTTGCTATTTTTGACTAGTCCTCCTGTAGAGGGGCAGGCCCGACTTAAATGTAGTCTTCTGGCAAGACTTTGGGGGGACTCAACCGCCTGAAGAGTTCTTGGCACCTCAACGGCAAGCGAGGCAGGGCAGCCACTGAGAGAGAGAGAGAGAGGCCACGCCAATGCCCTCACTGTCCCTGGATGGCCCACACGGCTGGGGCCGAGGTGAAGGGGCATGATCCCCTCACAAGGAGAAGAACCCCAAGATGAAGGGAGGCGGAGTGGGACTAGCCGCAGATACCAGTCCCACCTCGACCTTCAGCATCGCCCAAAGACTTACACTATGTTGCCCCCGCCGTACGTAAGGACCACATCCCAGAAAGAACTTCGAGCGCCCAGAAAAGTGTCCAACCAGTGTCGAGACAGTGTCGGACGGGTGTCTCCCAGGGCCCGACAGGTGGAAACCACTGAGTTTCGGCATCTCTGGGGGGTGCTCGAAATTCTCTCTCGTGATCCCCGCACCGCACACTGCGGGCAAGACTTGTGCCCATCCCCACTGCAGCTTGGAGTCTCGGCCCCCCCTCCCAAGAGAAACCCTAGGCGCACTGAAGATGGATACCAGTCCAGCCCCTGGGGGCTAGATTAGGGGAACAAAAAGTGACATAAACATAAAAACTCGGAGGTCCGCGCGGATTTCTCGGATTGGCGCTGGACCCCCCCTCCCTGGCGCGCGGAGCGCGCCAGGGGCGGCGCCGGAGGCACCGCCGGGGGGCCCCAGCGCCGATCCGAGAAATCCGCGCGGACCTCCGAGTTTTCATGTTTATGTCACTTGTTGCTCCCCTATAGATGTTTACCCATATCCAGAGCGCCTCGGCCTTGGGGTGCCCCTTCGAAGAAAGTCCAAGGCGCATTGGATACGGATGCAAATCCTGCCCCCGCGCACGACAGGCCGAGGAGAGCCCGTCCTCCCCGCCGCGGCTGCACACAGGCGTGCCCACGGCATCTCCACCGGCCTCGGGCAAGCGCCGCCTGCCCTGCTCGGCACGGCGGCGCCGCAGGGCCGGGCGAAGACGCGCGAGGCGCGCGCGAAGCTGCGTGGGGCAGGGACACACACAAATCAATTGACATCTTCCCAGATCTCCTGGGCTTTCGTCTTTACCCCCCCCCCCACACACTTCCAGATGTTCCCATGTTTTCCAGGGAGTCGACGGTTCCTTGTTGGGGACAGGATCAGGAGACAGTGCAGGGGCCCAGGGTCTTTTTTGATCCGCGGGTCGGGAGCGCACCTCTTCCGGTCGAAGCTAAGCGGGCCGCGCACAGCTTGAATTAAAGAGAGGGGGGGTGCCCAGGGACACACAAATCAACAGACACGGGCCAAAGGATTCCCCTCCTAGTTTCCTAGATCTCCGGGGCTGTCGTCTTCCCCCCGCCCACTTCCCGGATGTTCCCAAGTCTTCCAAGGAGTCGACGGTTCCTTGTTAGGGAACCGAACTCTATACACCGAAGCTTTTTCCGGCTCCGCACCGAAACTCGCACAGGAACGCGGATCCTGGTGTATACGGGCCCCTGGTGGATACATGTGTCGTTGTCCCCCTGGGAACACGGGGGAAAAGTATACACCACACCACCCCGACGTCGTCCCCGACCGTGAAAAACTTCTGGGATTGCAAAAACGGCCCGCCACTGGCAATGTATATATGTTCCAGTTTCCGACCTGAGTCCGTGCGTCTCTTCCCCTCCCGAGGCGAGGCGAGCCAAGCGCACCACTGCACCAGACGTTCCCGGGCCCGCCCTGGTCCCAGCCTTGGGGCTTCCGGCCACTGGGAGAAGGCGCACAGCCTCCTGGGGACCTGGGCTTAATTAAGTCGGGCGTGTCCCCCTACAGGGGGATTCTCGAAACAAATAAATAGATAAAACATACCCCCAGACTACCCCCAAAATGCTCAAATATAGTCGAAAAAGAGTCCCAGGCCATTTTCTACTGTTTTTGAACATTCCCCCCGCAGCGGGACAGGCCCGACTCCAGCACCGTGTCCTGGGAGACCTGGGCAAAAGGGGACGAGCCCGGCAGGCTTCGCACGGGGCTCCCAGCTTCCGCGCTCTTCGCGCCCCGCACGAGGCGCGAAAGTGCGAGCAGCTCTTCGCGCTCTCGCGCCGCCTCCCGGGGGAGAGAGGGGGGAGGACGAGGAGGACTCGCAGCCGAGCCGCGAAGCGCGAAGCGCGCACAACTTCGCGCCCTCGAGGGCGCGAAGTGATGCGAGGGCACGGAAACTTCGCGCCCTCGAGGGCGCCCGGGAGAGAGGGGGGGAGGACGCGCAGGAATCGGAGCCGAGCCGCGCAGCGCGGAGCGCGCACGACTTCGCGCCCTCGAGGGCGCCCTTGGCTCGGTGTCGGTTCACGCCTGGGCGTGCACAGAAAAAGATTGTGATCAGGGAGGACGCTGCAGCGGAGCTCAGGAGGCTGGCCTTCAGCCGCTGGCTCCGCGCCTGACCACGCGCGTCGGCTGCGTCTCCAAGTCTCCTCGTGGTCGGGCACGGCTGGTGGGAGGTCGGACCCAAAGTGACGAGACGCTCAGAGGCAGGTGAAGGAAACGAGCCACTGGCACTCAACGGTCGTGCGATGGGCAAACCGCCAATGCGCGCGGATCGACAAAGCACAGGCCAACGCACCTCCCCGACGACAAGTCATGATCTTGCGAAGACGGCCGTCTGAGGCGCTCGGCCGTTCTGAGATTTGGAGCCTCGGTGCCAGGCATCTGCGCCGTACGATCCAGGAATAGATGGAAGATGACGACGACGACAATCGTGTTGGCAAATAGGGTTGGTGGGGCGGATGAAGAGGCGGAGCAGAAAGACTAGGGGAAGGAGGAGGAGGATGAGAAGCGGGTCAAGGAGGCGGAGGAGAAGGATGCGGAGCCGGAGGAGAAGGAGGCGGATGAGGAGGAGAGAAGAATGAGGACAACGATGAATAGGGCGATAAGGGAGGGTGGGGGTGAGGGAAACATTGACGATGAGAATGTGGATGGAGAGGAGGAGGGGCAAGAGGAAAGGGAGGAAGAGGGGGCCAGAATGACGAGGATAGGGGGGATGGGGCGGCGCATGATGACAAGGACGAGGATAAGGGGGAGAGGACGAGGATGGAGCATAGAGGAGGGGGACTGGAGGGGTCGGTGGGTGGAAAATTGGAGGGGATGGATAGGTGCGGCGACACGTGTAGCCCGGCGACCTGGCGCTTCCCCGCGGCGCCCACGAGAGGGATCGACGAGGCTCGATCGTGTTGTAGACCCCGGCGAGGGCGTGTGCTGTGGCCGCCCCGAGGAAGGATAGAGGAGGGGCAACCGGAAGGGGTGTGTAGTGCAGGAGAGGCAGGATAGAACGAGGAGGGGTGGCGCAAGAAGAACGGAGGGGAGGTGACGGGAAGGGGGCGAGAGGAGAATAGGATAGGGGGGGAATGAGGTTTGGAGGAGGGGAGTGTTGGGGAGTGGAAGGGAGGGGGGGGACCCACGGGAGGGAAGGGGCCCCTCCATCGGTTCCCAGTTGGCAGCTATTGCTAGAGCCCAGCAGCAGTAGCAGCATAACACGTACTGGCGTGAGACATGCTTGCCCCCGTCCCCTAGCCCCTTCCTGTGTGACTAGATTCTGCTGGTTTGGAGTGGGCGGGTGGGGAAGCTGGGAGGGGGTGGGAGCGGGGGTGTCAAAACACGACCGGGCGTCCAAGACGCCCCAAAAGGGCTTCTGCGCGAACGCTCTTCAAACATGAATCCTCTGCGTCTTGGGTCTGGAACTACCCGTTCGGAACACAATACGCGCTGTCTGTCCCTGGTGGAGACGAGTGCGGAATGTCGCGACCAGCTCTGCGAACATGATGGAAACAAACAAACTGATTAGTCCACTCGTGAAACTGGCACGGCCGCCTAAATCCTACGAAATAGACGCATGTGCCCTCACTTGCTGCGCGAACGGTCGAAACCAACTACCCTGCGCACTGTGTGTATCCCTTTCCCTCCTCATCCCTTGTTTCCTTCCACCTCCTCTTCCGTGCAGCCTCGCACTGGTGTTTCGTAAACAATTGCACTGCCGCATCTGGGTTAAGCCTTGATGGGAGCCTCTGTGGACCTACGCGGACCTATCATAAACGTGATTTCGACCAGATTTCCGACCACCCCGCTTCACTTCTCCGTCCGCCAAATCTAACCTCGATTTCGCTCGTCCCGATGTCAACCACATACGGACGAGACCTCCCAAACCGCAGGGCATCGAGGGCCCTCTGAGACTGCCATGAAGGACCACGCGACCGCACAGGGCGCCGCACACGCCGCGAGAGGGAACCCGGGCCCTCTGAAGCGACAAGGTGGAACGGGCCAGCCTCACGGCGATGGGCCTCCACCATCGGTGCTGGTGTCCGCCTTGGCCCGCGCCGGCCTGTGGATCTCCCGCAGCGGCGGGATGTCACCCCAAGCTCCGTTCATGATGTCCGGCGCTGGAAGCTGAGGAACGACGGGTGGCACGCTCCTCGGTTCAGAAGCACGCCATATGTTTAGCATCACCCCGAGCGCTTGAACTCTCGTTCCACTCACATTGAGATCCCAACGCCCAACATGCATTAGTATTAACATCGCTGCTCGGCTGCCAAAAGAAACACATGCGCCCACACACTTTGGGCATCGCTGCCGCGCGCGCAGCAGCTTGGCAGAGTCCGACACTAATCGAGCAAAGACACGCGGGTCGGCCCAGCTCACGCAGCAAGGATGTTCCGGGTCCACCCATAAGGGGCATCGCGTACGCCACGCAAATATGCATACAAAAACCCTCCGACGAATTCTGCATGTAAGGTGGCGGTGTGTAAAGCCGCTGGCCCGCAATAGAAATCTACACACCGCCGCCCTCCCCGGAGGCCCGAGAGCAGTACATCGGAAGGCGCCTGTGTGTGTTATTTTGTGGCGGATGGCGGCACGACTCGCGGGAAAACAACCGCGAGGGGGGACAGGGCGGGATCGACGGGGGGGGGGGGGAAGCGCGACCAGTGTGGCACGAATCAGTCGGGCACGTCGAGCGCGTGAAGGTGCAGTGGCAGGCCAGCGCGGACTGTTTGGCGTCGCGGCCACGTGCGCGGCGGCGTAGCAGGGGTCAGTCAAGTCAGCGGGGGACGCGCGAGCCGGAGCAGCCCACACCGCGTGGAGAAGCTGGGTCCACCCATGGGGGCCCAACAACAACAGCAACAGCAACAGCAACAGCAACAGCAGCAACAAAAGCAGCAACAACAACAACGACAACAACAACAATAACAACAACAATAACAACAGCAAACAACAACAATTACAATTACACTTACAACAACAACAACGACAACAACAACAACAACAACAACAACAACAACAACAACAACAGCAACAGCAACAACAACAACATCAACAACAACAACAACAACAAAACCAGCAACAACAACATCAACATCAACACCAACAACAACAACAACAGCAACGACACTAATGTTGAGACTGTTCGCTCTTATCTGCTCGAGTGTCCAATAACGCGTATTTCCCCAACCCCCGATGCCCGCCCTCTTCGTCTTCGATCGAACCCCTTTTGGGGGTATACCTTTCTTCCCTGCAGGCCGGGCCCCGGCAAGCGGCGGGGCGGCCGCGGACCGTCGGCCTGGCCAGCGGCAGCGCTGATCGGCGGGGC